AGTGACCGCCTTGATTATTCATTTTGGTTTCGATCAAATACATTGCTGTAAAACCTTGTTCACAGTAATAAGTGGACGGTAATAGCAAAAGACCTTACACTCCTTTTTTTTAAGACAAAGGTGGTTGCAATTTCGCCACGAAAGACCGAAACTTTAGCAGGTGAGAAAAAATGCGGAACAGATTTATTCAGAAATTCTAAAAATGGTCTTAATTTGAAAAGGAATCTGTATGCGTTGATAATCAAAACGAAGAGAAAATTGGCTATCAAGTAAAAGGGGGTAACCATTAATTTAAGCGGCGTAAAATAATCTGTCCATGTTTTTCTTCACTTCAATCTTGCCACGCAGTCAGTCGTCGATCCGAATGTTTATCACGAGAAAATATTTTGCAAAAAGATTAATGCTTATTAGAACTCGGCAATTATCTGAGGGAACCTATAGATCGTTGGTCAGCACAATGACGGTTCATTCAAACCAGCCTCCATTGCGACCAGTTCAACCGACTATTTGGGCGTAATGTCTATCAAGATGCAACAGATGGTTATCACTGATATAGCAAATCATGTAAATATCGTCGAAGTGTCAGAGACGATTCATTCTTTGCTAACAGCAGGTTGCCACTAAAGCAACCGAACTGTTACGTCTATTGCCGGAGTTGCAACATGGCGCAGAACAACGTACATATTGATTTTACACTGTTCAGAAAATAGAAGTTTATTTTATGCCGCTTAAATGAAGGATTGCCGACAAGGGATAGAAGGTTTGCGAATCGTAAAAAGAGTCACAGACAAAACTGCTGTCTTTTTGTCATCTTCGTGAACCATTTTTGCCTTCCATCAGCATGGCGGATCCAACCTCTAGGTGAGGAACTCATTGCGTCCTTTTGCTCTCACGTTTCCTACCGACGTGAAGTGGAATGATCATATTGAATCAATTGCTAGATCTGCTGCTAAGAAAGTTACCTCATCGTGTCGTGCCAGACGATCTTTCTTACCAGAATCCATATTGCACGTGTATAAGTCTGTCATTCGTCCTTGAATTGAATATTGCTGCCACATATGGTTCGGTGCTCCTGCCATATATATATATCTCGAGATTCTTGACAAAATCCAAAGAAAAGTCTGCAATGTTATTGGTCCTTACCTGGTATCTCTCACAGACGCGCCGTCGCCTCTCTCTGTCTTTTCTACAAATACTTTCATGGCAATTGCTCTGATGAGCTGCTTTCACTGTTTCCCAGACTCCATGAATTCAAGCGCCCTACGAGGCTGGCATACCGCTCTCACCCTTACACTGTAGAAACTTTTAAATGTAGCCGTCTCTTCTACTCCAATAGCTTTATACCTCGCACCTATCGCCTGTGGAACACCCTTCCCAATTACTGTTTTCCTGAGAGCTATAATCTCCAACTATTCAAATGTAATGTAAATCGACACCTCCAGTTACCTTGATGTACCCACTATCCCTCTCCTCATCCTTTCTTCTATCACTCCTATCTGCTCTCGCTCCAAATCTTCAGCAACCCCCTGCATCCTAGGGGTTGAAACAAAATGGCTATTTTTGTAGTGATTTTATAACATATTTATGTTATAATTTTCGAATAAATTATATTTGCTTTACTCTGTATTGAGCACTCTTTTAGGAAAAGTATTTTTTGGTTATTGGAATTTGTTCCGTATACACCAATCCTATACTTGGGCATATATATATATATATATATATATTAAAGAAAAACAGACCACTTTAAGGTTCTATTATAATAATTTATTTCACCAGAGCCCTATTATTATAATGGAACCATAAAGTGGTCCGTTTTTAAACCTTAAAGTGGTCTGTTTTTCTTTAAAATATTAGCTATGGATTTACATTAAGATCTCAGGATTTCATCCTCCTTGGGATTACCCATACGGATTACCAAGTTTTTCATATATATATATATATATATCTTTAAAAAGAACAGCGCGAGTGCTATATATATATATATATATATATATATATATTCCAGAAATATGACTAAATCAGTTATTAAGGGAAAATTAATGCCTGAATTACCTTAAGATTAGGAAAGAGCTCGTACTAAAATGTTAATTCATTCATGAGTTATTTAGCAAAACTCAGAGTTCGCAAAAGGTCTGATGTTCTTGCCAATACTCTGCTTGTCGCTTTCTCTGCCTTTGGGCGGAGAGGTACTCAAACGAGTTTGGGGAAGTACACAGCACCCGATCCCTTCTATGCGCGGTCTACAGGGAATTTTTGACCGATTGTACGCGCTCGGTAATCCCACGTTAAAAATCCGTTTTTGTACCACATCCCGCCTTGTGGGAAGGACTTGGATAAATCCCGAACATTAGCAAAACTCTCCTAGTGGCTAAGACAGAAGCCCTTTTTCTTAAATACCTATATAAAAGTCATATATATATATATATATATATATATATATATATATATATAATTATTTATTTAAAAATATGATTCCATCGCTATATAAGAGTTCTCATGTTTCAAAACAAGAGCCGAAAACTTTTTTTGAATCTTCGCTTGAAGCTTGGTACTTTAATTCAATTTAATTCAAATCATTATATTGAAGTTTTCGGTTCTTGTTTTGAAACATGAGAACTCTTATGTAGCGATGGAATGATATTTTTAAATAAATAATTATATTTATGCTCTACTTTTGTATCGAGCACTATTTTTAAAATAATAACAAAAATACTAAAGAACTTTGGATTATTTACCTAACGAGTTCTTTCCTATTTTCTATATATCTTTACACACACACACACACACACACACACACACACACACACACACACACACACACACACATATATATATATATATATATATATATATATATATATATATTCATTTTTTATCAAACGTTTTAGTGTTGACAGCTCCACGGAAGTTATCTTGAGGAGGGAAATGGTTATAAAAATGTGGTACAATTTAGTTTCATTTTTTAGGTAATTTATTTCCATGCTCTATAATACGTATATTATGCACTCTTTTGTGTATCAATTCTAATATTTTATATTAATAGGATTCACTTGGATTACTACCCACGGATTTTACCTCTATGCATATATATATATATATATATATATATATATATATATATACAGAGAGAGCGAGAAAGGAATGATATACACACACGTATAAACACGCACATACACATGCTTATACATATATACACATACATACACACAGGTATATATGCGCGCACAAACACATACATACACATATGTGTGTGTATATATATATATATATGTTTCACAAAAGGTAATGACATAAGTTAGTACTAAACTCGGTTCGCGTGCACTGTTCAATCTATGGCAACATTTTAGATGGCACTTCAAAGTATATTGTATTTATTGTAAGGTGAATTTAATAACAGGGATCTTCACAGTACAGACCTCCTGTAGAGGTAATTGTATACGCAAACATATCATATACTAAGCAAGGTAATTAACAAGAATTTATTACCGTTTCTCTTAATTTGCTTGTATACGTAACACGCTCTCAAAATATTCTTCACATGTGTACAATTCTGTTTACGTTGTGAATAAACATATATATATATATATCCCTTCATCACTATTAAGTATTGTAATAAAAATAAATTTAAAAGCATTCCTATCACTCCCTTCCCTCTCTAATTTCGACCATGTCTGTCTCATTATCTCTCACCACTCTCTATATCATCTTACATCAACTTAATGCTACCCCTCAAAAAGTGTAAAAAATATATGTAAATTTATATTAATTTTTTCACCCTTGGAAGTGTGGTCTGATGAGCCAGGGAAAATGAAATTCCCTGGGGAAATAAATTATAACCAATGGAACCGTAAAGTTGTCTGTTTTCATTAAATTATATATATATATATATATATATATATATATATATATATATATATATATATATATATATATTGCAGCTCCAGCTCATCCAAGTATGCCTGGCTGCTTGAGTGGCGAGCTGATCCTTGTTGCAGGCGCCTGCTCAAACACATTTTTGTGCGTTCAACATCCACTCCACAGAGTCCACCTTTTGTTTTACCCTCCAACTATGCTGAGCAAACATTAGCTACAATTTCTGGGCGAGACCGCACAATCTGGCGTGATGAACATTCTGAATAAGAGCAATAGGTTCAAACACTCGATCACAATTACTTGTGACTTTGCACTAGTACAACTATCGACAGATTCCGAGCACCTAATTTCACTCACAACAGGGCTAGGGTCAACCTGTGGGTGTTGTTTTCAGACACTCTCCAACACAGTGCATACATTTCAGAATGGGCACCTCGACGTGATGTAATGCATAGCAAGCTTGTCTCGCTCGATCAATTACGATTTTCGGCCTTGAGCCACATCTAAGCTACGTTTAGAAAATCACTGTATACATTTCAAGAAAATTGGCAAGGTGAAAAAAACTCGATAAATGGTATCCCCCTGAACTCAGTGTAAGTCAAAGAGTTCGACATTCTCAAGTGCGTTCGATGGTGACTGCGAAATTCAAATGATCCATTTCTTGATCGAAGAGTGACTCGTGATGAGAAATGGATCTTTATCACAATCTTAAACGATCGGCTCAATAAATGCCAGTCTGATTAGAGGAGAAAGGGATTCAGTAAGAAAGTAATGCAAAGGGCAATCAGGGGATTACATACTATTGACTGTCTAAAAAGGAAAGAGATTCATTAAATGATTCATTTGCCTCTATTTTTTGTTGTGAATTCTAGTTGTCTGCTTTATTGAATCTCAATACAATGTTTCAAAATCATTGTGTCATTGCATATTAAAACTTTCTAACAGTCGTTGTCATTTTTGACAGTACTGGTACACTAGTTAATGTAAATAAAACGTTATGTTACATTTTTTGCGTCAGTAGTCATATTGAATAAAATAGATAGACACGGACGAACGAGTCTTGCTGTAATATGAATACTAAGCCCAGATATAGATAATTAAATGAGTCATGTATTAGACCAGAGGTTCTAAAATCTTTTTTGGTTACCGAAAGATAGATTTGGAGAGAGATAGATTAATAGATGTGAACAGACTGAAATAGAGAGAGAGAGAGAGAGAGAGAGAGAGAGATTGATAGATGTGAACAGACTGAAATTGAGAGAGACAGATTGATAGATGTGAACAGACTGAGATAGAGAGAGAGATTGATAGATGTGAACAGACTGAGATAGAGAGAGAGAGAGAGAGATTGATAGATGTGAACAGACAGATAGATAGATAGATTGATAGATGCGACCATACTGAAATAGAGAGAGAGAGAGAGAGAGATTGATAGATGTGAACAGACTGAGATAGAGAGAGAGAGAGACTGATAGATGTGAACAGACTGAGATAGAGAGATAGATAGATTGATAGATGCGACCATACTGAAATAGAGAGAGAGAGAGATTGATAGATGTGAACAGACTGAGATAGAGAGAGAGATTGATAGATCTGAACAGACTGAGATAGATAGATAGATAGATAGATAGATAGATAGATGTGAACAGGTATAGATAATTAAATGAGTCATGCATTAGACCAGCGTTTCTCAAAACGTTTTTGGTTACCACCCTCTTGCGTACCAAAGCACAACTCTCATCCTTCCTCAAATGTATAAACTCAACCCTAACCCAACCTCAAATGTCTAGTCAACCTTTGATTGGATTTTCTTGGTGCTAGTATTGCATGTCAAATTAGTACCTTAGTATTTTGTAAAATAATTGCTATAAAAATGAGATTCACTGTAAAGTGAAGGCAAGATATACTTCAGGTGCCATGTTTGTGTGTGTAGTGTATGCTTTAGTTCAGATATGTCACTGCTACCCTCTGGCTGACCACCTTTTTTTTCCTCGCCGCCACTCGGTTCTTTCCATCGCACCCAGAGGGCAGTACCGCTCACTTTGGGAATCACTGCATTCGACCATCCATGTTCGATTTTAGAATGAAATTAACTTCGAAATAGGAAGTTTAAGACATTTTTTTTTAAATAATTGTAATTACATGAATTCGTCATTTTATATTTCTCTCTGATTTCATTTTTTAAAAGCAGTTTTAAAACAACGAAAATTAAATTTAAAAATTACTTTGAATTGTTATTACATTTTAATAAGACATCTGGTGCTTGTATGTTTCTAAAATCGTATTGAATCGTATTGACAAATACTTAATTTCATTTAGGATATTAATGTCAGAATAAAAAACAAAATGCAGTAGCATTTCTGTTACATGTGGTAAATAGGATCATTGGATCAAGTCGAGTTATTCCTCGCACAACCTCTGAGAATAACGAGGGATAAGACTAACTTTAAAGTACAGACTAAAGATTAAAAAGGTCAGAGAAAATTCATGCAATCATGTTTCTTTAACTGAGTATCAATTGATTAATTGAATCAGTTTACAGTTACGCTTGGCAAAGAGCACAGGACTCGATAACCATTAAACGACCAACACCACGGAAGTGTCTGGCGCCAGAGTGTTTTAGTGATCGTATAACATTATATATTTTCTTTCTTTCTTTCTCTCTTTCTTTCTTTCTTTCTTAACAATTTTATTTTTAAAAAAATTATATGTAAATTTATATGTAATATACCTATAATACTCCCAATTTATAAGTAATTATATCTTAGTTAGTAACGACCAAAGAATTACTATGAGTTATATATATATATGTATATATATATATGATGAAATATGGTTTTATGGTATGCTATATTTATGGGCAAAAGGGCTCAATATCAATCGGGGATATAGCATATGGATGTATAAAAGTGGACATTGAAATCAACACTCAGAGGCGACAGTTTGCTTCATGCTTAAACGCAATCGTCACGCTATATGCGTTGTTTTTTTGCTCGACTATTTATATATACAGGTCCGTAATGCATTGTGGGTAGTCTATTGTATTGTTCTAACGGTTATTTTGGTGGGCGTTAACGCTTATGTTTCGAATTATTCTAATGGCTATTGGGTGGAAATAATTGTGGCTCCTGGTGCAGGTTTTTGTTGTGCGTTAACTATTTTAATTAATTATTGATTATTTTATTGTTGGCTGTTATTATTAAAGTTACTTTTATTTACGTGTACGTTCCTAGTTCGTTAATTTATTCTTTATTTTTTAATTTATTTACTTATTTATTGGTTTGGATTAATTTATTTTCCTTTTTTGTTTGTTTGTTTAGTTTATTTTTTATTTATTTATCTTTGTTTATTGTTGTTCGTTTTTAGTTTTCGATTTTTAAGTAACGTATACACACACACACACACACACACACACACACACATATATATATATATATATATATATATATATATATTTGTAGGTCTGATGAATTTGTAGGTCTGATGAATTGGATCGTATTTACGATTCCAATGGAATAAATTATGACCATGGAATATTAGTGTTTAAGCCTTTTTATTATATCCTTACTCTGTCCTAGACATTGAGTTCTACCTGGATTCTTCCTTTTGGAATTTTTTTTCTAAAAATATACATGTATGGGTATTTATATATTTTGCATATGTATGTATATTTTCCACTAATATTATCTATCTATCTATCTATCTATCTCTCTCTCTCTCTCTCTCTATATATATATATATATATGGAATAAATAGTGGGCAGACAGTACACTTTAACTTTGGCTGGCAACAGGTCGGGGAAAACGACAACACTGCATTCAAGAGCTAAATAGGGCTGTTTAAAGACTTATATGAACTCTTTCTCTCCATTCATTTCTTCCGAAAAGTATAGATGAATCACCAACATGTGTGTGAAGGGGTGGGGGACGTGAACCATTCTTATTCGGTTCGTATTCCATTGGTAAAGAGGAAGTTCTGCTCAAACAGCTTCTTCCCACGAACCGCTACTTAGTGGTACCGACTCCCAAAAAGATGATTTCCCGATCAGTACAATCTTAACCTGTTCAAGTCTAGAGTTAACCGTCGTCTTCACCACATATCCCATAAACTGTGCCTCTTATGCCGATTACCTCTTACTTTGTAGCCATCTACGTAGAGTGGCTCTTGTGCCTTGTACAGAGTAAACATTATTGCAAAAGACATATATATATATATATATATATATATATATATATATGCCTATTCATACTCAGGTCCGTCAACAGACTGTTGTTGTTTTGAGTGGTAGGAGAGACGCGGGCTTTAAGTTAGGGTGGCCAGGACATTTGTACACTTAAATTAGTTTACATATTGCTAGGGAACAGATTATTTTCTGGTGAGGTATCCTCCTCAGCGCTTTCTTGATAACAGTCTGCTGATAATTCATTTGCGAAATGATATATATGTATATACACTATAAGTTTTGGGTCACCCTCTAGAATTAGTAAATTTCGCAGCTTCGTTGGTACTAAGTTAGCATACTAAAACTATTTGACACATTAAAGCATGATGTTCAAAGTTTTTAGGAATTTTAAATCCATCATCCCTAAGATTAATATTAGCAAGGTAAGATTAGGCAAAATGTGCTAAAATGTTAAGGAAATGTTATGCAGTAATGTTAATTATTATTATTATTATTATTGAATATATGATGAAACAATTCTGGCCCGATTTAAGGGATAATATTAGTTTTGAAAAAAACGCACATCCATCACTTATTAAGCAATACTTAAAAATCCAGAGGGTGACACGAACCATTTTGCCTGTAGTGTAGGTCTGAAGCGACA